GTTGTTCCCGTGCACTTCTCAATCTAAAAAACAGGAAACTCTGACTTCATTGTGGTTCCAACGGCGCTAAAGAGCAGTGTAACTGTTAAAGCACAAGTGTAGGTTTTTATAATATTTGTGGGTTGTTGTTTTTGCAGTTTTTAAAATGAAGTCTCAAGTTTGGTGGGTTAATAACTTGGGAGATGCATTTTTACTGGCAGGCTTGTTAGCGGATATAGAGGTTTTTACTGGCATTTTACAAAAATATTTACAGGCTAAAAAAACTGCCGGATGTAAACGTGGTAGGCGAGAGGCTGTATCCCAACTGAAGTGTCTCGCTGATTCATTTTTCAACCATACCATTTGTAAATGGAACCTACTCTGACGAGAGCCTTATATCTAAAAAGATGTTCCTTTTGCGCCCTATTTGCTCTTATTACAACAGGTAAGTGATATGCTCCACTATCAAAAAGGAACCCTCAGTCATCATCAAAGAGGCTCATTTAGCAAACCGATCACTTTTTTTTAACTTTCCTGTGATGTGCCAAGGTCCAACGGATGTTGGCGACATTTGGTCGGATGGAAACTAATTTTCAAAGATGTAGGAAGTACCTTCACTACTAGGTATCTCGGGGATTTTCGATGAACCGCGGTCAACTCGTTCATCGCTTGTTTCAAGTTAATGAGTGGTTTGGGTAGCGCCGTCAGTACCGAGAAGAAAGTACTTGCGGCATAAAAGAAATGTGCAACGTTATGTGAAATTTGTAGCACATTTCGCGATATTTTTTTAGATGAATCTGAAAACTTCATTTGAAACTGGAGTTCGATTTCCTTCTGTAAAATTTTAATTCAAACATAATTTAGAAATTTTCTGTACCGTCAATAAATTCAAAATCTTCAAATTGAAAAACATTGAAAAATTGAATACTTCTTTTTTTTTTTAAATTTGATTTGTAAAGGAGTATGAACTCTTCAGATCGAACTTTCCAAAACCTTGACATTTTCAACTTTGAGTCTCAGTGGTGTTAGAAAGTTGCGAACTTTTCAAAATCCAACCTTAACGAGGTTCGCGGTGAGGGGGACTTTGGTCACTTCAGTTTGCGGCATCCCTAGCCATAACTAGGCTCGTTCGATTTCCCTACCCCGGTGCAGAAAGTGTAGGGCGCAGTGTACTTCCGATCGCATACCTCCACTGCCTTACACTTTTCTGCACCGGTGTAGGTGCCTGGAGGTGCAATCGAGCGGGCTTAGTATCGCACAGTGTACTGCAACAGATTTTTTGCAGGATAAATGTGACCAAAGAATTCCATCTCGTTAAGTTGGTGACGTGCAAGGAACTAGTGAGCAAAGTTTCCAGATTTCTTTCACTATATGCGCCTTGACTTCTGAACCGAACCTTGCTGGGATTCTTCACTTCCGAAGAACTCCTTCCACCGACATTGCGCACCTCCATGGTGGACCGTGGGATTCCTTGAACTAAAGTCAGCTAAAGTCGACTATAGTCAGTGACAAGTCAAGAACGAAGTGAAACCTCCTCCCACCTCTTTCCACTTTAGTAGAGCGAACGCTGGAGTGGAGCCGAACCTCCCAAAGTTCGAGGTCAAAACATGTTGAAAATTTGGAACCTCATTAAGGTTCGTTTTTTAAAAGTTCGCAACTTCCGAACCCCTCTGAGGTTCGAATATAAAAATTCAAAAATGTCAAGGTTTTTGAAAGTTATATATGAAAAGTGCAAGCTTCTTTGCAAATCAAAATTAAAAAAAAAATAATAATTAAAAAAAAAAAAATTTGATTGATCTTTTTTTTTTGTTTTTTGCTGGACAAGTTGGAGAAAAGGTTTGAAGTTTGAATGCTTTGAATTTCACAGACGGAAATCGAACTCCACAGTTTCGAATGAAGCTGTGACGAACAAGCGGGTGACAACATGGTAGAGCAACGTGCAGCAAAGCACGCACAGCGAACGAGGCGGGAGCCACGCTCCACGAGCGCCAGACACGCGACAAAAGCTCCGATGGAACGCGCCTATCTGCAAGGCTCGTCTCGCCTACCTCAGACATTCTCTCGGACTGGCCCGTTTGTAAATATCTATTTGTAAGATATGAATATGACAGGTGTGTCGGCAAAAAACGCCTCTCGATATGTTGACTACAAATTGGTGACCCAGACTGCCAGATACATTCGACTACGCGCCTCCGACTCCGAGACCTCGAGGACCACGGAACATTGAACGGCGGTGCAGCAGTCGGCACTGTTACCGCTCCTTCACACGCTGGCGCCATCCACTTGAAGCTGCCCGATTTTCGGACAAATGACGCAGAACTTTGGTTCATGCCGACGCCTTTTTCCGCAGCAACCACATCAATTCTCAGCGAGCAGAATTTGACTACTATGCCGTGACGGCCCTTCCCCAAATGACCACATCAATCATAAGAGATCTCCCCCGGTTCTCCGGAAAATCCTTACGATAACTTTAAGGGATGCATTGATCCAGCGTATACCACTGCCTCTGAGCAGAAACGGCTGCAACAATTGCTGAGTGCCGAAGAACTAGGCGACCGCAAGCCGTCCCAACTTTTCCGCATGCAGCAGCTACTAGGAGACAGCCGACAACCTGGATTATCACTCCTCCGCGAGCTCTTTCTTCAAAGGCTTCCCAATAACGTATGAATGATACAACATCCAACACAACGTCCCTGGAAGCGTTAGTACGCATGGCGGACAAGATCATGGAGACCGGTTCCCCAGCTCTTTACGCCACCCACCAAGTGTTCCCCACGCAGAAAGGCTCCATTTCTCCCCGCCGACGTGGAACTCTGAGATAATCCACCGTCTTTCATCAAAAGTCGACCATCTTTCATCATCGGTCTCGCTCCTTCAGCTTCCACCGAGGCAGTGGATGCAGACGCTCCCCAAGCTCAACAAACCGTATGTGCTGGTATTACCAAAAGTTCGGTGATGCGGCAAACAATTGCTCGCCACCCTGCTCTATGGGAAACATGAGAGGTGATCCCAGAAAAGACCCGTCTTTTCATCATCACTGACAAGGCCACCAAAATTCAATACTTCGACTGCGTTTATTCTTCAACTTCGGAGGACTGCCGACACAGTCAGCCTTTGACATCTCTGGCAGCGGCCAATGGCTAAGATATTAACACCTATGGTGAGAAATCCATCTCTCTCGAAATCAGATTAAGAAGGACTTTCCGCTGGATTTTCATAATCGCGGACGTCAAGTACCCTATCCTTGGAGCGGACTTCTTGCAGTTCTTCAATCTAACCGCAGACATGCGTCAGTACCAGCTTCGCGATGATGGGACGCATCTACACGTCCCAGGGAATAAAGACCCGAGACCAATAGCTTCAACTTCACCAGCCATGTCCACCAGCCTCGACACAATGAGAAGCCTTTCTCCATCACCTTCCCAGGCTAACGCGACCATCGTTCCATGCCGCATCCACGCAGCACACCATTAGCCGCTCCATCGAAACTACCGGACCATTCGTCTTTGCACGCCCTCGGCAACTGGCTCCTGAGAAGCTAACAATCGCAAAGAACAAGTTCGAACATATGATCGAGCTTGGAATTGTCCGGTCTTCATCGAGCAGCTGGCCGTCCCTCTTACACATGGTCCAAAAGAAAACTGGAGATGGGAGGCCTTGCGGTGACCACCGTGCACTTAACAAAGTCACGCGGTACTAGACCGCTATTCAATCCTGCATATTCAGGATTTCTCCGGAGCCATTGCAGGGGCAGCCATCTTCACCAAGCTGGATCTCGCGAAGGCCTACCATCACATCCCAGTTACGTCAGACGACATTCCTAAGACAGCGATTGTAACACCTTTCGGCTTGTTTGAGTATGTGCGGGACGCGTTTCGGCCTCAGAAACGCCACTAAAACATTTCAGCGTTTTATGGAAGTGCTGCGAAACCTCCCATTCTATTTTGCATACCATATCTATGACATTTTTTGGGCTTAGCAAGACATCTGAAGAGCACCAATGTCATCTCCGCACGATCTTCGAACATCTATTTTCTAGACGAATTTGGTGTTACCATCAATGTGCAAAAATGCATATTCGGCGTGTCCGAACTGGATTTCCTCGAACACCACCTCGACAACGACGCCCTTTGTCGTCGAAAGTCCAAGCAATACAGGATTTTCCAGTCCAACAACTCAGAGAATTCTTTGGACTGATCAACTTCTACCGTCGCTTCCTTCCAGGAAGCCTTCGTCAGAATCAAGAGGCAGTTAGCCAAAGTGGTACTCTTGAACTGACGCATCCGAAATCGAACGCTTTTGGGTCACAGGCTTGCACGGTAAACCACTTCAGCATGCTTGTGATTGCCTATCGAGGGTGATTGTAACGCTTAAATAATAATTTAAAAGTTAGTAAACTTGAAAAGTGTTCCCGGGATCTAACTTCTGTAAGCGTCACAACGTGAAGTTTGAAATGAGGCTGCATGCCATTTATGACATAGTAAAAAAAAAGTGTAGTTTTAACGTGGTTCACGCGATATATGACGAGAAAAATGAAGTAACGAATTTATCAATTGATTGGTCTATTAAAGCGCGGCGATCAGTCAGGTTAATTTTTTTTCTTTAATCAACCCCCAGCTCCAATTAGCATTCAATGTTTTATGAAAGCTATGAATTGTGCGAAATAACAAAAATACGTGGGACCAGCGGTTCTATCAACTACACCACTTTATGGAAGTGTCCGATTAATTATTAATCACTTTGCTGAATTTCCAAGCGTGTGAAACGGTACAACACAACCTGGAAACAGCAACAAAAACAACAAGCATTTAATAAGGAGTGTCCAACTCAGCCGGAAACGGGCTTGCGTGGTCGAGATCTATGCCTCCGAATCCCGTAGCAGATGACGCCCAAGTGCGGGCGCCTCAGTGCGCGCGCACCGCACCGTGCGCGTGGTGCGCGCGGGGACCTTACTGGTCACACTTTTCCACCGAGAGATGGCTCCACCATCCTACCACCTTCCTCGACTTCTCTCACGTGGTTGACGTCATTCGATGGCGTTTGTGATGTCTCGGTTTCTCTCCGAACTGCAGGCGGGAGGCAAATCCAGCGACCGGGCGACGGCGCGTCAGTGCATCGATGCGCTAGTGCTAGCGCTCGCCCTTGACCGTGCGTCGGTATCGTTCAAATGCCGCTGTCGTGAAAACCTCGCTGAATCGGCGCCCTCTCTGTCCGTCCCCGACGTCACCCGCACAACGGAAACCGGACCGACTCTTGCAACCGCTTCACCGGCGCGCTGCCGTCCTCCGATCCGACCGACAACGGCTCGAGGATTTTGACCGCAGCAGCCTGTTCGGCCGGGAGGGACTCCTCGCCGGTCCAGTCGAGCGGCATGGGAGACGAAATCGTCGAAGGTGAGTCGGGCCACTCGTCTCCCGGAGGTTGATTGACAGCGCGGGTCCGGCGATTCGCGGTGTGACAGGCCAGTGTACCCGCGCGATCTCTCGTCACGTCCCTGGATTTCGCGCCCGCGGCGTTCGAAAGCGGGGACGGACCGAGCGGCTCGGAGTCGTCCGTGACGGGACGTGCGAAGGCACGCGTGACACTTTGGCAGCTGTTGACGTGCGCTTGCTCGGTGCGGCGAAAGCAGCTGTTCCGACTGCCTGCTGCTTCGATTGTGTGCCGCACCCGTGCTCTACTATGGCTCGCTGCGTTCTTGCAATGTGTGTGCTGCTGCAGAACGGCGTTCGACCGCGAAGCGCACACGGCAAGTTCCGTAGCGGCATGTAGACGACTTTCCGAAAGCGCAGTCCGAGCTTCGACCTTCGCCCAATTCGAGCCGCAACGGCCGACGGCGCCGATAACTAATCATTTCGGACGAATTCGTCATGTCGGGCTCACCCTAGCTGCTTATCGGCGCTTTGCACCAATTTCGTCAGCGTTGGGCAATAAACGATAGACAGCCGCTGCCGCACCGGAGGGCAAGAAAGCGTGACTTTCTAGCGAAACCGAGGGCTTCCGAGACACGCCTTTGCGTTGTTATGTTTTGAGCATTTTTAGTCTCAAAACACCCAATCATATGATTGTTCGAGTTTACGCCCGATGGAGCCACTTACCGAGGTTATTAGCCCAGTAAAAGCTATCCCGTGACTTTAGTAAAACCAAGAGATGATCATTTAGTGCCTTTTTACAAATACCCTCGTTTTCCAGGAGGGTGATATGATGTATCCCGGGGAAGCTATTGCATCATTGAACTACCGTATTTCCGGGACCATACTCCGCGCTCCAATCGGAACGTGAATCTTCTCAGCACACCTTGACAAATGCCTGCGTTCTTAGGTCACAAAGAACTGATGCATAAATCACCGTTGACATATTCACAAAATTCGTCTGGTCATGATGAACGAGCTTGAAAAACAAAATTCCCGCATGTCCGCACCCGTATAGGTAGTCCGCGTAAAATTTAAACTTTCAAACAGTCCGCGGAGTGAAGGTACCTTGAACGTGGACGCGTTTACGTTCGCTTCTGTTCACTACGTGAGTGTGATAATTTGGTATTCCTGGGGTAAACATAAACAAGCAATGGCGGAACTTCCTGGACCCTGGAGTACTTCCGGTGGGCCCGCATTTCGGGGTTGCTTCAATGAGCAGCGTGTCTTTGACGATTTTCCTGGCGGATACTCAGAAAAGGTGTGTCAAGAGAATGACGCACCATGAATTGATGAGTGCACCTAGATCGTATACGAGGCCAAGGATACCTGCTCGTTTAATTTGGCTTCCGTGCTCAAAGTGACTTGATTCTATCTGAGAGCGCGCAGGAAACCGGGCCAGTTACACGGGAGGCATTCGACGAAGTTGAACGCAGATCAGTTGAGGCCTTCGTAATTATTTCGTGAACGTCGTTTCGTTAACTGCGCGTCCTGCCCGTCGTCGCCGTCGGAGTTCTGTTCGCCGTGAGTGTTCCAGCTGGCCAAAGCGAAACGGCCGAACTACGACACGCTTGTCGGACGTGGTTCGAGCAGGGTGCGAAGGTTCGTGCCACTCGTGCTCAAAAGCAAGCTGTGCGTTTTCGACCACGAGTGGAGATATCGCAGTGACGGGATTGCTGCGCCATTTGCGCCCAAGTGCTTAGCCCGCTACGTAGCCCGCTACATTTCCTTTCTTTAATAGTGAAACTCGTAGCTCGGGCCCCGCCATACTGCAGGATGGTTACGGCAGCCTGGTGGAAATTTTCGAAACTTTCGATCATCGCTGAGGATAACGCAGTGTTCTATTTTACTTGAGTGTCGAACACTGACAGCACCCGGGAGTACTTGCAATTGTTGGTGGTCTGTTCGGGCGGGCTAGTGTGGCCTCGTTGAGTGCGCTTCTCACCAGGTGCCAGTGCAGTGCGGAGGAGCGACATCCGAGATGTGGATGTCGCTTTTGCGGGGCCCCTTCGCCACTGCACAGTTGCGTGCAAAAAACAAACAAACAAAACCTGCGCACTTTTTTTTTTCTTAATTCGAGATTTATGGCAACTTGGGTATAGCTACAGGACTTTTAAATAATGCTTATAAGGACAAAAAACCCGGTACCATAGCCTCGATTTCTTATTTTTTTTTGTCAAATCTTGCGTTTAGTTATAACTTCTATTAATGCCTTCAACTTTATGAAGGTGCAGAAGATTAAACCTATAAATAAATTAGCTTTAGCTGTGGATGAATGGAAGGTAATGAGTAATCTTAGCCAGTTGAGCTGGCTTTTATAAAGTGGCATATTTAGCGTCCACTCGCTCATTTCACATTGTCACGAGATACGCGAGAAGTGCCATTGATGTTCGTAACTAAATAAAAATTATTCTTGATCGGATTAAGAACTGTGTTATTGCAACCTCCAGAGCTTGGGCAAAGGGCTGAGTTTCTTTTTTTTTTTACTCGAACTAATTTATTCTAACATTATTTCGGTGTAACGCGATTCGATATGCCTTTGAGTTTGTACGTAAACTTACCACGTACGGACGTTGGTGCTCTGTCCTTCAACAAGTAGCGTCTGTTTCAACAGCGACTTCCGCAGTGGAACGACGAAAGGGATAACTCTCGTCGTAACATCCTTGCTGCCTTGTCTGGGGTTCTTAAGGGCAATCAACAGCTAGTCATTGATCGTTTGATTGAATCTAACTCTCCCGTAGAACACCGAATGCTACCCTAACCAAATAAATCATTGTGGCTGGCCAAGCCGCCACCTGAATTTTAACGTAATATTCGCGGTAACAGGAATCAGAATTAAATGTACGCTCGTGCGCCAAAAGTTATTTGTGCTGTAGAATGTGTACTTTTGGCTGCTCCAAAGGGAGCACAAAATGACTGGGGCCACTCACATCACTGTTATCGTCATTGCGACAGCCGGCAGTGCCAACGATTGTTGCGCCGCTCGTGCCCGGCAAAAAGAAAAAAAAAAAAAAAAAAAAAGGCAAGCGCTGTGCTCTCGACAACGAGTGGAGCACATGGGGATTGTGACAACGTCGGCCTACCGCGGCAGTCGCGTTTATAGTGAGTTTTAGTAGGCCGTGTTTCCCGCTCCGCTAAGCCCCTCCGCTACCCGGAACTGTACAGCCAAGGCCATCGGCGCGCAGGCGCAGGGGCGTTTTTTTCGTAGCGGAGGGCTAGCGGAGCGGGAAACACGGTCTACTAAAACTCCCTAATATATACGCGGTGAGACGTTTCAGGCGCGGACGTGGAAAGGCTGTAAGGTAAAAGCAAAAAGGTAAAAAAAAGAAAGTTTCGTGTTTACCATTTTTGCCGATCATGCGAAGCTCTTGGGACATACTATGCAGACACACGTTGTCCTGCATGACGATGTGGAATAAAAATCGGTAGGGGATTAATGGTTTCATGCTCTTTTATGGCTTGCTTCAAACGTCTCTTAAAAGAAAAAAAAAAAAGAAAAACGCTTTTCTGCATGCTATATATATATATAAAAAATTTACTTTTTAGGTAATTCTAGGCAAAGTTCAGGTTTACTGATGCCCAGGTTCAGTTTCACGTCCAAAAAATCCCAATCCCCAGTCCTCCGCTGGCTCCCAAAATTTATTTTCTATTTTAGTCACTTTGTGGGTTTCTTCGATGGTGTTTGTTCAATGGAAACCGTCACTTAAACCGTCTGCTTACAAACGCACGGGCACCCGAAAATTAATGTGAGCGAAAACATTTTGCTTTAAGAATGATAAATAATACAGGTTCAAAAACGACTGTTTTAGATGTTCTTTCTTCTCACGGGCAATTCAAGAATGGAACGATTTACCACATGATGTCGTCGTCAACACAACTGTTGCTAATTTTGTATCTGCTCTTGAATTTATACTTAATTGAGTTTTCATTTATAAATTTGCATCTTGTTTAGATGTTTGTGCCCACTCCTACCATGGGTCCTTGAGTGGAGCCAGTAGTATTTTTAAATAAATAAATAATTGAACTAATAATAATAATAATATTTTATTCATTTATTAAGTATCCCGTGCAATCCCAAGTTGGTGTTAAGTAAAACTGGGATCTAAAAAAAAAGTATCTTCAGGTATGGCATTAATTGCACCATACCTCAGTCTAAAATGTTAATTTTAACTTATATTTTCGACGTTCTAATTTCCGAAAGTGGCGAATATTAATTATTCTTTCAACCAACCTGTATTTGCTGGTCGCGTAGCTCTCGGAAAAAGAACAATGCGTGCATCCCTCACCAAAAAAAAAAAAAAAAAACAACGATAATATTTATATTTGGGGTAAACTTTCTGTGATAATGGAGCAAAAGCCCCTTCATGTCTTAAAAGTAGCGCAAGGTGCGTCGATGCACGAGGCACGTGCAGCCCTTGGGAAGATCATGGCGGCACAGCGCAGCACTGAGCTAGATTTCAGATGCCATGTTCTTCCCGCGGAAGTAGCGCGCGGCACGTGTCCCGAGCATTTCCACAACATTGAATGGCACCACTTTTCCCAGGATAGAGCGACTTTAGCTAAAGCTACAGAGCCGATGCACGCCGTTCCACTACGCGGCTGAACATAGTTGAACCAAAATTCTTTGCTGGGTCTCAATATATATATACAAAACTTTTCTCTTCAGCTTCTATTTCAAAATGTTACTCTATTATTAGTCGGGATATGCCAAACATCGCATTTTTTTTAGCTCCTTCAGGCTTTCGTGGCAGGTTTTATAGTTCCTGGCAGAACAAGCGTGGCGTCTTTCTCGTGTGCATCGATTCGTCGGTGTGGTGATTCGTGGGTACCTTCCGTGAGCTCGCCCCTTTGTTCGCCCCGTAGGATTTTCGTGAAGGGCGCCAGAGTATTTCGCGTCTCGGGTGTGCGTTTGTTCCTTCTTCTGTAGCAATAGAGTCAAAAAACCATGTTCTCACTCCACGAATTAGGCCATTGGCGTGCGGTCT